CCCCCCCCCCCTGTTTCCAGGCCACACCATCCAGGCCCTGTGATTTCGGCCACCCAGCACTGGCCACTGTGCAGCCAGTAGGCCGGGGAGAGGATGAGCACCGTGCTCCATGAGTGTCACAGGACCCCGGACACACACGAAAGCAGCTCAAAGCGGCTTTACACGTTCCAAAAGCGAGCTCCTGCAGCCAACTGCAGGATGACCATATTTTTGCTTCATGATGGAGTTTAGAGTCAACTATTCCATATCTGTCTTAACTTCTGAACTCTAAGGATCTATTAGGTGGCTTTAAATCACCATTGGGCTTCCCTGAGAATCCCAAATTACTGATACTCGCAGGGTCCTCAGAGATCATGCATCCTAATAGTTTTTAATTGGAGGATGGAATTTCGGGAGGTGGTATTTGAGAATATGAGAAAAGCCAGAGACCCTCTCCCTAGTTAATGCTAGAGAGAGGGAGAGAGAAGCAAAGACACAAAATTTTGTATACAAATCTCAAGTCTCCCAAAGTCATCCATGATTTTCCTGGTTGTCCACAGACCCAGTTTGAGATCATCTCATCTAACCTACCTCAAATTTCAAAATTAAAGAAAAAAAACAAAAAACCAAGGTGTGCCCAGATTATAGCAGAATTAAGTGACTTGCTCAACAAAACGCTTTGACACGCTGAGACCAAAACCCACATCTTCAGACTCCTCATTAAATGCTATCTCTAAAAGCAGCTTCCTTTCCTGTCTTCTGTTATCTTGGTGGTAAAGAAAATGGTTCTTGCCTGCTTCATGGAGTTATTAGGTGAAATATACACTAAAAATTCCACACATCATAAATATGTGCATGTCCTACTTCCCCACGAAACTTTAATGCTTTCTATTATTTCCAAAATAACAGCTACCCAGGAAATAAATTAGGCAAATTAGTCTTCGGTGGACAATTCTTAGATTGGGTACTCAGATTTGGCTCTGATAAACACAATGTAGCTACTGTCCAAACAAATCAAATTTTAATACTGACAAAAGCTTATGTTATTATAGCTTTAGTCTCATCTCTATTCAGAAGACTTCAGAAATATTTTTCCTCAAGGGGAAAAAAATGGAATGGAAAGTGTTCATGTTTTCTTTTTTTTTTTCGGTTTGGTGTTTGGTTTTCCCAGGTGCCCCAAATTAAACTAACTCACACTTTCTGGCTATCACTCAAACTGAGTTGACTTTGCTACTGCTTTCCCAGATCCTTCTAAAAACTACAGGATTTTGTTCTGGCATTTTAATCAGTGATTAACTACTCCCTTCTTTTTCCTGCTGGGTTAAGTAAGATCCATATGCCGGGTGTTGTAGGGAATTTGTTAGGCCGTAGATCATAGCCGTGGTGCAGGACGTGGTGTGTCTCAAGGGAACTAATGAAGCCATAAGGAATGTAAAGAGTCACCGGGTTAAAGCCACATTAGGACAGCTGTTAAGTTAATGAGGGCCCTGCTCTGGAGAGGAGGTCACTGTATAGAAAAATATGAACCACTCTTTATTGGTTTGATCCCATGTCCTCTGGAAGTTAATGGGCCTTTCTCAGTCTCCGCTGACATTCACTGAGCCCGACGCAAATGCCAGGCACTGTATAAGCACATGGGCCTGAGACTGATTCTGGCCCCCGTCCTTGTCTTTGGCAAAGGCAAGAATGAAAAAGAGCGACACTAAACACGCCTTTCAGTTTCCCATCACTCCCTTTGTTCGGTTTCTTTAAAAATCAATGTTTACTGTTTGATCTGTGTTCAGAGCTGATATTCGACCTATCTGAAAGACAGTGCCAGCGTGGGGGCTGGGCCAGCCATGGTGTGTGGGACCAAATCCTGGAATACGTGGGCACTCTATTAATAAAGGTTTGCAGAATGAAAAGCTTCACATTCAAACCAGGTAATCACAGAACTATAACAGAAGCAAAACAGGTTTGATATATATAAAATTATAGCATTATTATATTTAATATTACAACATGTGTACCATATATGATTACATAATACTATAATATTTTTGTGTACGTATTATCGTGATGCATGGTTAGAGATGATCATTTCTGGGAAGGAACTCTCTGTCCCAATGTAGCAGGCAGAGGGACCAAATAGCACCAACTGGAACCTGCACTACCTGGTGCGTCTGTGACTCTTACCTTCCTGCACGTCCCTACCCAGCCCACCCCCGCGATCACAATCGGGTGCCTCCGTTCCAGCTCTGAATGCTTTTCACCACCATCCCTTCCTTTCCCTTCACACGGCCACTGGTGGGTTTCACAGCCACGGCCTCCCCTGCCTAACCCACAAGTGTGGGTGTCCCAGCCTGAAAGCCACGTCTTCCCCAGGGTGTCCTCAGAACAGACTTCCAGCCACATTCCTTCCTACCTCCGACGGCTCCTGACCCTCCAACCGAACTGCACCCTTCTCTTCCCTCAGCGTGAAGGAAAACGGAAGGCCACCTGACCCCTAACGCACGTGCTTCCGACTCTGCGCTTCTGCTCCTCCGTTCCCTCTCATCACCCCACTCTCCCCACCTGCCTGTCCACTGAGTAACTATTTTGCCTCAAAAGTCCACCTTAAATCTTCCTTCTCCAAGAGCCCCTCTTGTTCACTCCAGCTAGATCTCCTTTCTTCTCAACTCCTGCTGCATTCTGGCTCTTTCTTACAGTACTTATTGCATCTGCTTTGTCTTTACAATTACTTGTATGTTTACTTTATTACCCACAGTAGATCAGGGCTCCTTAAAAGACTTGTCTTAATTCCCTCAGCATTCCCTGGCTTTCTTAGCACTATGATGACCATATGAAAAGTCACACTGGATGTGACAACCCCTCCGACTAGGCTCGGCAGCCTGGAGGAGGTTACTGCTGTCAAATTCTGCAACAGCAGAGGGAATCAGCTGCAGATGAGAAAGCGGCGATCACTCTCGAGACCAAATCCGCTGGCTAGTCCACTGCTGGGTTCCCAGCCTCGCTCTGACTGTGAAAGTGAACTATCTGGGGATCACACATTTCCAAATACGGTAACTTAACTCCTGGGACAGGAAGGAGCTCCAGGATACACTGAGACATCTGCAATCCTTCAGACGGTGCTTTACTACCTCGTTCATGATGAAAACGTTACTGTGTCACTCACTAGAAGCATATTGCACCAAAGAAGCCTTTTCTGGAGGGTTCAGGGTACAGCTGACTCCTGAACCACGCAGGTTTGAAATGCATGGATCCACGCACACACAGATTTTTTAGTCAATGCCTGTCGTGTTTTCGATCCGCAGCTGGGAGTCCTGAGCATCCTGAGATTTTGGTATCTGTGGAGTGTTTTGCAACCAACGCTCCACAGATACCAGGGTACAACTAAGTTTCTCAGGAGGCAAGGGTTATACACAGATTTTCAACTATTCATGGGTCAGCGCCACTAACTCCATGTGGTTCAAGGGTCAACTGTCCATCTGGGAGTTCAAAAGATAATTCAAACTGTTTTTAGAATAATATCATTACTTGAAATGCTCCCAGACAATAAAACCCTTAAAGGAAGGGACTTTACCTTATACACCTCTGCACGTCTTCATCACTGAAAGGCCATGGAGTGGAAGCGTATGGAATCTAATTACCTCTCTCAGTTACGAGCGATACAACTTTGGGTAGTTACTTACACAGTCTTACAAATAAATTAGGGATAATAGTAACAACCTAGGGTTTTCCTGATGAGTAAATGGGTTAGTTCCTATAAAGCGCTCAGAACAGTACCTGGCACAGAAAAGCCACTCAGCACCGGTTTGCCACCCCCACAGCCCACGAAAGGACTGGCACATAATTAGGGTTCCTGAAATGAGGAGTGAAAGCACAAAGAGACACACCTCTGTGTGTTCTGATTCTCCTAGCGTATTCGCCTAGCAATAATCGCCAAATTCTAAAATGAAAACGCACATTTTTATAAATACTAAAACATGCTAAGAATTCCAAGGACGCAAATTCAATAGGTCACGCTTTTAACTATACATACCAAAAAAAAAAAAAATTACTCGTCTCAAACAACGCGACAAAAAAGCAGTCCAACATATTCATCACAGCCATCACGAGTTTCATTGGACTTACCTACCTGTGAAGAAAAATAACTTTTCTAAAATATTGCTAAACAGACGTGCTTAAAACAAAAGACATGGGGGAGGGAGAGAGGAATCAGGCAAATGCAGATAAAAGAAAAAAGAACCCTGCCATCCTAACAGGGCCAACCCTAAGGCAAGGCGCTGGGGGGACGCGGGGACCCCGGAGGCTGCGGCTCCCAGGGCGCCGTTGCTGCGGGGCCTGCTCTGCGCCCACCGCCCGCTGTACGGGAGGATGAGGGAGGCGGCCCCGCCCGGTCCCGCGCCGCGTACCTGGACTCGGGCCTCGGTGAGCTTCGCGCGCTGCGCCAGCTCCTCGCGCGTGTAAATGTCCGGGTAGTGGGTCCTCTCGAAGGCGCGCTCCAGCTCCTCCAGCTGCTCCGCGGTGAAGGTGGTGCGGCTGCGGCGCTGCTTCCTCTTCAGGGGCAAGTCGGGCTCGGAGTCGATGTCAGAGCCCTCGTCCGACTGGGGCGCGGAGGCTGGGCGCAGGGGAGAGAGAGAGAAGCTGAACGCGGGTCACAAAGCGAGCGCGAGCGAGCCAGCATGCGCGGGCCCTGGCTACGGTGCACCGCACGACCCGGGCCCCTCCTGCCGCTGCGTTATTAAGTGGTGATGAATCTCCCCCCCCCTTTCTCGGGGACCCCCAGGCAGGAATAATGGCAATCGGCCGCGCGCTCCGGGTCCACTGTGAGCTCTCGGGACGCAGGGCCTGGACTCACTCCACTTGATGACCCCCACCCTCTGCATTGAAGGGGTAACTCAACTCACGGCTGATGAATGAATCACATTTAATTTGGCGCCCGATAAACTCTCACCAACTTTTACACCAGGAAATCTGTTTTAAAAAGTGACTTTTTAAATAAATAATCAAACATCGACTTAGTACCTAAAAAGGCAATGAGAATAAACGATCGCAGGATTCCTGTAAGTTTATAGACTCTACCTCTCCTCTAAGAAAAATCATGTTTAAATATCTCGTTACCAAATATTGGGAAAAGCTCTGGGGAGAATTTAGAAACTGTGATGGAGATCGGAAGAGTAAATTCAGGGGGAAGCGGGCACTGTCTAGTGAACTGTCCCTAAATTGAAGTTCAGAGTCGGGGTCTCTGCTGATCCGGCGGCTGCCCAGGACTACGCCTCATTTGAGGAACTCGGTGCAAAATGAAAACGCAGAAACCAGTGTTCAAAAATGTCAAGAGAGCAACAAGGGAGCGTAAAGCCAGGCACAGGGCCCTTCTGCGGGGGGCCGGGGCAACTGCACAAGTCGGTCCCTGAAGCCAGCCCTGCCGTGGATCCCTCCCCACCAAAGTCTGATTTTGCCTGGGAACGAAACCTCCCAACTTTGTGTGCAGGTAGCTAGGAAAGAGGAGGCGCTGAGAAATTAGATAGGAATTAGAGTTAATGATACAATGTGGTGTCTGTGAGTTGTGACCGTCACAGAGCACCTGTTGGCCTAGAGGGTTCTGAGGTTTGAGGGTGCACCGGGCCCAGGGCTCTGGGCGGGACAGCAGCCTTTCAGAGGGCCATCAGAAGGCTCAGGCTACACACTCTGTGGTGCAGGAACCCAAGCAGCCTTGCTCCGAGTACATCCAAACATGCTCTGAAAACTCCCCGAATACCTGGGGGTTCCACTGGAGAAGGGGCTGAACTGTTCTCTCAGCAAATGAGGAGAGAAAGGCAGAAAATTGTAGATGATTAGTGTCAATGTCAAGGATGCATCTGCACCCTCAGACTGGCAGCACCTGGGGAAATGCAGGTAGCACTAGCGGCAGTGTGAAAACACGTCTCCTGTGCCACTCTCTTCTGTGTCCAGCTCACACCTAGCTCTGGCCGCAGCAATCTACACCTTCATTCTACTTCAGTGTAAATTACACCCTGCTCAAAAAGATAACCCATAAATACAAGTTTACGTTTTCAAATATTTTAATACGTCTGCATTTTACTCATATTGAAGCACTGAACTTAAGAGAGTGGATTAACATATATGACAAATTTTACAAAGTAAATACTTGAGCATAAAAGCAAAAGAGAAATATAATACACAAGCCACCTACTGTGCGTTAGACATTGTGCTTGGTTTTTCAATTATGTTATTTAATCTAAGTTAAAATGCTCTAACAGTATAAATTCATTATTTTAGGACATTTTAGCATTAATTTTTGGATGTTTTAGTATTAACTTTAAAAAAGAAAATAGATTTTTTTTTCTTAAGTATGGGGGTAGTTTAAAGGAGTTTTAATGTGCAAAGAAATATGCCGTGCATTGCATTATAGGCTTCCAAAGCTCCCAATACGACATGCATGTGTATATTTTTGATAAGTGCGAGCCAAGTTACAACAGCGATCATTTGTGCCTAGTTGCAGAGCAGTGGTTCTCGAGCTTTCCGAGCATCCCAGTCATCTGCAAACCTGGTTAACTCACAGCTTGCTGTCCCTCCTCCAGTTTCTGATCTGTAGGTCTGAGGTGGGCTCTAAGAATCTGCATTTCTAACACATTCCTGGGGGATTGATGCTGATTTTACTGATCCTGGATGACATTCTGAGAACCACCTCTATAGAATATTCTAGATTAATTATTCTCTTCCCTCTCAAAATTCCCAAATACAAAACATTTCCTGCCACCATTTATCAAAAAAAAATTGCTTCCACATACATACTTCTTAATTATAAATAATAAGCGCCCCAAGAAACAAACTACTTATCTCCCTCAGAGGATAATGCATTTCTATAAAATGTTTTTCCTGTTATGCTTTTGGTCTAGGATGACCTGACTTTTCTTTCCCATGTGAAATCAGGTGATAACTCAAAAGCATTTAGCAACGGACCAAAAGCTTCCTCTGCCCGTGAGAACCTTAAATCTTTGCTTGTACTTTCTCTTACTATGACCCCATTAGGATAATAGTATGTGGAAATTTTCATGTTTCCTTTGGGAGTCTCCAAGGTTATTAAATGCTCCCAAGTAAATATGATGTGCCATGCACTGTCAGGTCAATTAATCAAAATCGTCTCTGGTTCCCGAAGAAAAGGGGCTGCTTAGTACCAGCAAGAGCTAATTCTGAGGGTCAAGGTCACCATTTCACCTTCACAATCAACATCTCCCAGAATATAAACTCTGGGAGCTCAAGGCTCTGCTCTGCCTTGTTCACTGCAGGAAGCCTGGGGACACAGTAGGTGCTCAATAAAAACAAGTTGAATAAATTAATGCACCAGGTAAAATTTAAGTTTTGACCTAACACTGATTTCTCTGACACTCTTATATTCTTATATTCTTATATGAGTCTCCCAGCATCATTTTACATGAGCTTTGGGGGTCTGTGAATCCACTAAAATTATTCAGAAATTCTCAGAAGTATTTGCATAGCTACATTTTTCTGGGGAATAATTATCTTTAAAAAAAAAAGGATTGTGATTTTTAAAAGATGAAGAGTCACCAACAGCTTGTGATTTAAAAGATTCAAACTATCTAAGAGTTCAATAGGACAGCCTTCACCACCCAAAATAAAAGAACTAATCACTTCTTTTATCTCTAGGCTGTTTACTCAAAAGCAATCCTCAGGCTGCATCTCATTAGGAAAGCCTCCACAGAGCATCATTTAGAAAGACACAGAGGAAAACATTTTCCCCAATTTTTTCTGGGGGAAATGATCTGAACCAACTGATCGTTTTTGGCAATAAGAAGCCACAATTTTGCAAGTTAATTCTAACTTTTCCCCATCTGCAAACCCCAAAAGGATGTGGACTTTAAAATGTTAAGTCAGCAACCCCAGATTAATCTGCCAGCTAAGAAATACTAGCTATTTCTAAAGATGGAAATACTAGTATTTCTTACATCACTCAATAAAAATAAAATTCCTTATTTACACAGAACAAGACCCACAGTTCCCTGAATTTGAATCATTTAGTTTTTACCAAGAACAAATCTAAAACCTAAATCCCACTTAATAGCACAGAAGAAACCATTTTTTTGGAAATGCATCTATTTTACATATTCAACTTTACTCAAGATATTAGAACAAATTAGATACTAGATACCAAGTAACCTATCTTGCTAAATATTAACCAAAGAGAGCTCGACGGAAATAAATGATATATTTTCTTCTGTACAGAATACCTAATGCTATGACTTGGAAATTGCAAGCAGTGTTATCAAGACAGATATCTAATGAGTAATAAATTGATAGGATCTGGCAGTGAGGTCAAATATAATCTCTTCTGTAATATAATCTCTTCGGACTATTTCTACTGTCCACCCTTAATATTACGGGGAGATTTTTCAGTACATTCACGTTGCTAAGTCCTATTCCATACATGCCTTCACAAAGCTTACTGTATTTTTCATTAGAGATACTAGCCCCCCAACTCCAAAGTCCAGAATAGGTCTCATTAGAAAATCCATATCAGTATATAATCCATGGCCTTTTAAGTGGCAGTTTTATTGCTTTAAACTGTGTACTCCAATCCATATTGTTATCAGACTTTGAAAGTTTTGACTCTGTAACCAAACTCCCCTCACAGTCCATTCTGTGGCTTACACATTCATTGAACCGCGTCGCCAGTGAGCCAGACGCATCCCTTACCAAGATGACGAGGGTTTCTCTCTCTTCCCCGGGTAACTAAACAAACACCTGCGAAGGAAACACCCACTGACCCGACAAAGGAAACTGAGACACAAAGACGTTATTCAGGTCACACCGTAAGAAGAGCTAAGACGTGACCCAGGTCTGCGGGACCTCAGGGAACATACTGTCCTTCTTCCAACTTGGTGTGTCCTAAATAGGTGTCGATTGCTGATTTCCGCCCCCCCCACCACCCCTCTCTCTCTCTCTGTCACACACACACACACACACACACACACACACACACACAGTCCTTTTGAAGAGAAATACCAGAAACAAACCAAAACAGGAATTCCAATGTAAATCATTTAGCTGATTGCCACTATTGCTCTCATTTGTCCCAAATTTTCAAAAACTTCCTAGAATCAAATAAAATTTACAGAAATACAAGTTTGATCAGTATTATATACCAAATCAAGGAATTTTTCTAACTGAATTCAATTCAACACACATACGGAACTCTATATATCCAAGATGCACTTCTTAAACAACAACAAAGTCCTAAGAGATCAATTCCTTTGCCAAGATAATGAATGAATTTGAGAAATCAATTAGTCTGACCGTTAACAGTCTCCAGTAAGAGTGATCACAGACCTTGGTCCCGAGACCCAGGGTCAATCTAGAACCTCCGATGGTTCACAAACAGTTGAAGTGATCACTCATTTTATACTTCATTAAAGTCTTCTCTCTTTTTTTGGTATTAAAGATATCTTAGTAAAAGGATATCAAGAGTTGTAAAGAACCTCAAATGTTTTTAGGTAATATAACAGTTTTATAGCAGTTTTAGGTTAAAAAAAATGAGCAGAAAGTACAGCTTGCACTTTCCTCTTCTCCCCTCCCCCATTCTTTCCTTCGGTGTCAACA